TCAACTTCGTTAAAGCGTTTGAGCATCATCGATCAGTCACTGCTGAGGTGTCCTACCATTTCAGCAGAAGACTGGTGCAGCGCCGTCTCGACTGATTTAACTAGGGACACCTTTTTGACGACGACTGCGGGCATCACTCAAAGACTTCCACTGTCTTTTGAACTGTGAAAAACCGATGAGCATTTTAAATGGTAGTATTCCCTCCAACAAATGCAATGCTTGGTTTGGTGGGCGGAAGTTGTAGCTCTCAGCAAGAATTTTGAAGCATTTGGTACACACATGCGAATTTGCACACTGGACCCAGGAATTTTCAAAAAAAATAAAAATTGGGGGAAAGTTAAATTGTGAACCAACAATAGAAAACAATAAGCATATTTCGCAGTATTAATGAGCAAAAAGGACTTTCTGAGATATTGATTTTCCATAGTAATCGGCCCCAAAACTTCCTGAACGCAGAAACGACACTTACCAGGAAGGTCTTTCAGGGCGTGACGAGCTTTTTGAAAACGGTCTTTTGCATGATATAGGGGCAGATGCGGGAACCACAGAACCATGTTCAATTTTTCCTGAACGGCCCTCTGAATACCAGAAAAGGGGTCCCTAGTTCGATTCCTCGTGGTGACAAATTTTTGCATTTCGAGTTGACGTTCCAAAATTCGCGCAAAATGGAGTTAGCATGAATAATTAGTACCATATTCATGATTAGGGCCGTCAGTAACCCTACAAAAAGACTTTGACTTAAAAATTGGTGTGAGAGGTGTGACATCAAGCAGCCCCACTGTGGTGTCACACCTTTTTCACCAGTTTTTTAATCAAAGTCTATTTGTAAGGGTTACTGACGGTCCTAATCATGAATGGTACTAATTATTCATGCTAACTCCATTTTGCGCGAATTTTGGAACGTCAACTCGAAATGCAAAAATTTGTCACCACGAGGAATCGAACTAGGGACCCCTTTTCTGGTATTCAGAGGGCCGTTCAGGAAAAATTAAACATGGTTCTGTGGTTCCCGCATCTGCCCCTATATCATGCAAAAGACCGTTTTCAAAAAGCTTGTCACGCCCTGAAAGACCTTCCTGGTAAGAATCGCGGTACTCTAAATTTGTGTAGGGGCACAGTACCTCCTTCAATGTTCTACTTTCCGGCCAATGTGGCAAAGGTTAAATGTCTTTAAAGGAAAGAAGGAGAACCTAATCTGAGCAGAATTGAATCTAGCATTTGGATCAAGCCGCATTTGCGTGGCAGCGGCGCTGCGTCCCTCTCGCACATCTGAAACTAGCATTTTTTGATATGAAACCGGATGTGCAGAGGACAAAAAGGGGTCGTATCAGAGTCCATGTTTTGGAGGGGGGTCGTAAAGAGGCGGTTATTTCCTCGACACGATTTTCACCCTGGTTTGCGTGTCATGGGATTTGGAGCGGAGTATCTCTTCGTAAGTCACACGACTGCCATCAGATCCACTTTGTAAGGCCCCTTGCGCCAATTTTTCACGCATATTCGAGCCGCAACAACGGCTCTTTGCTACCAATATCCTACCCCCACAGAATATATTCTGACAACCTCGTCTGAGTGTGGCTTTTAAGAAGGTCAGCCAGTGAGTCGGGGTCTGTCTAACGGCTTTCTTTCTATGAGCGCTGCTCTGAACTGGGTGGTCAACCTATCACCATGCGCGAAATACATAGTGCCGTTCGCAGCGTACTTCGACGCGCCATATTTTTGGAGTGAAACCGCAAATGGCGATGAAGTCTCCTTCAAGTCAGTGCTTCGTAGAGCTTGTGCATTTCTGATGTCGGCTAAATGTCAGAAAGCATCTTTATAGCGCAGACGAGCAGTTTGCATGTCTTGGCGATCGCAACCCTATAGTTCACCAACTACAAAATAACTATGACTCATTTTAGCGAATTGAAATATGGCGTGGGATGTCATGAAAACAACGACACATAAACATTGTACGGGTAACAAGAACAAATTATTGCACCAAGGCTGTACATTAAATAATTAATAAAATTCACGCCATGCACTATTTTTGTGTAACTTTGGGAGGTCTTTCAAGGAAGGTGAATAGTGGGGAGGGTAGAGAAATGTCCACTCAGACAATAGGTCATCGTCATATCATATCATAGCGTCATGTCATAGCGACAGAAGCACACTATCAAATACTCGACAAGGCGCCAAAAGCCCCGAGATCGACGGTCTCAGACCACGCCCGACTGCTGACAAGCACACCGCTGAGCAACTATCGAAGATCGAATACGAAGTTATTACGTCCCGTGAGGCAACCTTTCTCTTTCAACCTTAGTACAGCATTGCAGCAGAGCTATGGTCCACCTGGAGGAGTAGCATACGGCTCCACGGTACCATTGCTTACCTTCACTCGAAGGACCCGGCGGTTTCCTCATCCTCCTCGAGTTTACCGGCAAGAAGAGCATCTAGTCTCTCTGGATTCTGCCCGTTTCTCTTGACTGTTTTTGCAAACGCCTAATCTCAATGTGACTCTGGAGGGGGCAACCCGAAGTATTGCGTCAGATTCACAGAACGCTCAATCATAGGACCAGCCTCAGGGGAGAAAGAATCCAAGGTGTATAAGCGATTCCCGTTTTCTCCGGGATTTGTCCATTTCCGTTAGGCCTAGACTGTTGACTGACCCTCACAAGAGATACAGTAGCCGACACTTTTTTTGCACCCACCTTTCACATTTTGGCTTAACCAGCTTACCACTATAGCTACCTCTGTACTGTGAACGCCCTACTTTGATTTTTCTCTTTCTTATTCGACTTTGAGACAGAATTTGAGCATAAAGTCTCGCCGAAAATCAATCATGTGGACTCTTACAACGGAATCTTATGAAATTGTTCGGGGACCTCCAGTCCTGGGTCACCAGAAGCATGACGTTTCCCTGGACGTTTATCTGTTGTCTTTCAGCTTTGTTGGGTTGAAATTCTAAAGGAGATCACTTATGGAAGAAAGTAAGAGTTGTAATTCACATCTTTACCGGATCTTGTTAGGCAGGTGTGTAGCAGTAACAAAATATTAAGAGCAAAATTGAAAAATTTATTAACTCGTATAACAAAACACGACAAAACAAACAAGTTCTAAACACCACAAATCCTATGACCTAGCGACTAAAAGCACATACCGGTGAGTACTGTAAAAACAGAAAACCACAAATATTTACAAACAACACGATGAAATTCCAAAACCACGGAGTCTTGAAATTCTTCGTCCTGTTAAACGTTGGTTGGGTTGCAGGTGGACCAAACGAAGCGGCCTAGTCGAACTGAAACCAATTTTTTTTCCTCAAATATGGCCTGGATTCTATCAAAGCCATCCATTTTATAATATTTATCTATTGGGCTATTCATAGTTAGTTTAGTTTCATGGTGCATAAATGGGAGTCTCTCTTACCAGACGCCTTCTTTTCATCGGTCTCATGTCCTGTTCTTCGGAGTCTTCGACGATCAGTCGACGGCAGAAGATTCTCAGCGGATGTGGAGTCGCTCTGAAATAGGGTTTTTTCTCACTGTTTGGTTAGCATTAGCTTAGAGAGCAGTAAACACCAACAATCGAAATACAGCAACTTACATTTTGGTTACTTTTGCATCCTCCACGTCTTCAGTATCATCAAAGTTCAGACGAAGTCTAAACAGTGTTGCTTCAGAATGACGTCAATCACATTTTTGAGCGCTATCGCAATATACGGGGGCATTGCAATGCGTTAGAAATCCCGTGAATCCTTTTTGTTGAGATCGCTACTAAGCCTCAGGCGGGGAAGTGGAGACTCCGAGATGCGTGAGACATTTCCATTTTACCCATCGTATGCCTCCTCCTAGGCTTTACCCTAGAGGATACCCCGTATACAGCTGTAGCGCCCATTTTTGTGTTTCTATCTTCAAAAAAAAATCATGGATAGTGGAACCTTCGAGGATTCCCACTTCTAAACTCAATTTCGAATTGTTGTCTGTTTTTTTACACATGTCCAAGAATAGCAACATCTGTGTATCATTAATTAGCTGTGTCAGCCAGGTGGTTAAAGGCAGTGATCGCGATTGTTGGAGGGCAGTGCTGTCCTGATGAGAGTGAAACATTAGCGCTGAAGTAGACCCCTCAGCGCGCTAGATTGTGGCGGAAGCCAGCTTTTAACGCTGCTATGCAGAGTGGAGGTTTATGTAAACGTTTTGTAGGGCCAATGGCTCAAACCCCGGGGTTGGGAATGGAAATGCCTAATCAAGATTAATTAAAATTATGCGGATACGATAGCCTGGCCCAGATTTAGAGGCAAATTACTCAGGGAGTCACTCTAAAAAATGATTTGAAAGCTGTCAAGCACTTACCTAACATTCTTGATTGTGGTCATACCGAGACGACATGTCGAATTATCCTCTTCTGAAAAAGGACAAATTATTAAAGAGAACAAAAAAGAACAAAAAACAAAGACAGCAGTAAATGAAAATAAATAACAAATGCTGATTTAAGTAAGCCTTCTTGCTCTTTTTTTTTTCTCAAGAAAATAATCATGCAACTTCAACTAAATCAATCAATAAATAAAATTTGACCACGAAACGCACCTTCCGAGTCAATATCCCAATCCTTGTCCTCAGTTCCGTAGTGATGGATCACAGGTTTGATCTAAACAGTCCCACATTAGCAGTAACAAGATGTAACTGATAACAACATTACTGATAACGATGTGGATTCATAGAACAACAAAGGAAGCCTACTACAAAAATTGTAAATAATTCTCGAACAAACCTCCATGCTCTTAAAAATAACAGCGTGTGATTGGCAGTGAAGTAGTCGTAGAGTCTCGAGAAGCACAGCGGTTGTGGGACGTTTCAAAGGGTTCGGTTCCAGCATCGATTTGATAATATCCACCAAATTCCTGTCGAGTCCTAAAAGCGCGACTTTTAGCAGTTTTTGATTTTTCTCCGCCTCGAAATGTCATGAAAATTGTTTCTGTAGAAGCGTTCGTCTATGTTTCAAGTTTTGATCCCAAAACGTTCAACGATTCGATTTCAAAAACTCTCAGAAAAAACCTTAAACGATCACTCACCTCCAAACCAATGAGTTGGGATATCGCAATTCCTTATACGCTCCTTGTCCTTCTCCAGGTCAACGTTTGTTGCTAGCTGAAAAAAGTAAAAATTTGCTCAGTGTGCTAACTTATTTGTTTCCGAGTCATAAATAAAATTAAAGGAATGGAGTTATTATTAACATTATTATTACGATTATTTATCGCTGTTAATTACACAAACACAAAAACTTCTTTCATTAGCGCTTACTGCGAGTTACTTTCATGCCGTTCTGCACTGTTTAGTAAGGTGAAACCCTACACACAGCGTAACATATAGACTGGGATGCGGTAAAGGAAGCAACTCGTGCTCTTGTATGAGGGGAAAACTTCTAGAATTCATGTAACCTGTCCGAATTGAGCACGCTCCGCCTCTTCGAGGCATGTCGACACTGAGAGCTAACGTAGCGCTAGTGAGATGGGGATGCTTTTTGGGCAAATGGAAATTAGGCGTACTAGAAGTATGGGAATCATATACCTGTCCACAGCGTGATTATTTTCCGCGCACAATTTTTGGCAATTGATTTATTACATGGTGAAAACCAGCGGTACGCAGACTACCTGAGGATTTTTCATACATTTTTTTTCCATTTTCTGGTTCTGTTCAAGCCGTTCAAGCACCCAAGCCCCAGCACTTATAAAGCCACCAACATACTTCTAGTAGTGTCACTCCTAAGCTGTACACGTCTGCCGCAGTTGTCGGGGGGTTGTTGAGAATTTCCGGCGCCATGTAGTATTTGTCACCTTCCTCAGCAGAATCCATCGAATCCTGTAACAAAAATCAATTTCTAATCCTTTCACGGGATCAAAAGAGGTAGAAAGTGAAACGGAGTGAGAGTAGACATATTGCAGTCCTAAAATTAAATTTGAGCTATATAAAAGTGATTTTACTTTACTAACCTATAACAATAAGTTAATGGTGACTTACCTCGTTCAAGTTGAATGCTAAGCCAAAATCGCCTAACTTACATGAAGTACCATCAGTGGAGATGAAGATGTTCGAAGGCTTGACGTCCATGTGAAGTAGACCCATCGAATGCATGTGGTTGATTGCCTGAAAGATGGGGTTCTTAAATGGACAGATGTGATACTGTGGGTGAGAACAAGGAGCAACGTGAGGGCTTTTGTTTAGAGGGTGCGAAAGGAATGTAAGGGCTTAGAACGTCATTCTCAATTTTCATCCATTACTGTGAGGAGTAGTAACACTGAAGGCCAAACTACCAATGACAATCGTCCTCAAGGCAAAGGTTGCGGTAAGAATGTGGGTGTGGGGGAACACCAGCGCAAACTTCGCATTCAAAAATGGTTTTTTAAATATTATGGATCGAGCTAAAATAGTCATTTTATTGATCGAGGTGCTTGCTATGGCTCTAATTTCATACCTGTAACATATTCAACATTACTGAATAGAGTTCGTTTCCTCCGAGGGTTCCAAAGCAGCGTCGGTAGTCC